AATCAGGAAAGAGATCTTGCAGTCATCGTGGATAGTTCTCTGAAGACGTCCATGCAGTGTGCAGCGGCAGTCAAAAAAGCAAACAGGATGTTAGGAATGTTAAAAAAGGGATAGAGAATAAGATGGAGAATATCTTATTGCCCTTATATAAATCCATGGTATGCCCACATCTGGAATACTGCATGCAGATGTGGTCTCCTCATCTCAAAAAAGATATACTGGCGTTAGAAAAGGTTCAGAGAAGGGCAACTAAAATGATTAGGGGTTCGGAACGGGTCCCATAAGAGGAGAGATTAATGGGCAGCAGGTTTAAAACAAATAAAAGAAAGTAGTTCTTCACACAGCACATAGTTAATCTATGGAACTCCTTGCCTGAAGAGGTTGTGAAGGCTAGGACTATAACAGGGTTTAAAAGAGAACTAGATAAATTCATGGAAGTTAGGTGCTTAATGTCTATTAGCCAGTATGGGTAAGGAATGGTGTCTCCAGCTTCTGTTTGTCAGAGGGTGGTGATAGATGGCAGAAGAGAGATCACTTGACCAGTACCTGTTTGATTCACTCCCTCAGGGGCACCTGGCATTGGCCACTGTCAACAGACAGGGTACTGGGCTGGATGGACCTTTGGTCTGACCCAGTATGGCCGTTCTTATGGTTCCAAGTTATCCATATAATAGAGCTGAACAAGCCTCATCTGTGGCTGTGACTACACCAAAGCATTCCATGTACAAAAGCAAATTTGAGCCTGGAGGGTTGCCTCAAAATGCAACCGAATGCCTTACATCAACACTCCAAAAATGTGAATGTCTTATGCTACAAAATGTGTGTTTTGCAATCTTAATGGGATTATCACTGAACTCAGAAATACAGGGTCTTTAGGCTGACAAATCAGGAATAATTAGACACACAATGTGTACTGACACACAATGCATGGAAAATAATATAAAATGTTTATCCTTTTAAATTAATCCCATTGGCAGGTAACTCTATTAAATAGCTATTTACCAGTTAATGAGATAGGACAATTATGGTACCTTGTTAGCAATATTTTAATAAACACTGAACCTAATTATTTTCACTTGGGGTTTGGAAGAAGTTGTACGTAGGCAACAATGATGAGAATGAATTTGGGAGATTGACTCTGTTTTCCAAAGAGTACTGCACAGTGCTTTGCAGCAAGTAGCCTGGGTCCTGTTTTACAGATGGGAATGGGACTGCATGATTAATTTCTGCACCTGCCTTTCAGATGCAATGGAAACCATGGCTCTGGCTTTGTGCAGGGTTCTGAAAAAACAGATCTTCTACATTATTGTTTTAAGGGGATCATGTACCAGTGAAAGGAGTTACGTTGGAGGTGGAACTCTTTCTCCCCATAGAATAGGAAGGTTATAGAAAGGCAGTTCAGCTTCCCTCCATTGCTCAGCCAATATGCCGCAACCCTGATCTACAGGTATCACCTCCACTTGTGAGATAGTTGTTTTCATGATTTATTCAATACTTAGGATCTGTATAGAATGCCACTAAGGAAGCCATGAATAGTCTTGCAGCACCTTAGAGACAAACAAAACATGTAGACAGTATCATGAGCTTCGTGGGCACAACCCACTTCTTCAGATGAAGAAGTGGGTTGTGCCTATGAAAGCTCATGATACCGTCTACATGTTTTGTTTGTCTCTAAGGGTATGTCTACACTACTCCCCTAGTTCGAACTAGGGGTAATGTAGTCATTCAGAGTTGCAAATGAAGCTCGGGATTTGAATATCCCGGGCTTCATTTGCGTGATGCTGGCCGGCGCCATTTTTAAATGCCGGCTAGTTCGGACCCCGTGCCGCGCGGCTACACGTGGCACGAACTAGCTAGTTCGGATTAGGCTTTCTATTCCGAACTAGCTGTACACCTCGTTCCACATACAGCTAGATCGGAATAGGAAGCCTAATCCGAACTAGCTAGTCCATGCCGTGTGTAGCTGCGCGGCACGGGGTCAGAACTACCCGGCATTTAAAAATGGCGCCGGCCGGCATCATGCAAATGAAGCCCGGTAAATTCAAATCCCGGGCTTTATTTGCAACTCCGAATGACTACATTATCCCCCTAGTTTGAACTAGGGGAGTAGTGTAGACATACCCTAAGGTGCTACTAGACTATTTGTGGTTTTTAAAGTTTTTCCAGTTACAGACTAACTTGGCTACCCCTCTGAAACTAAGGAAGCCAGTTAGTGCCCTCTGCTGGGGATACTGTTTGTGATGTGGACACCAATCCACTGAGATCAACAAATGGTCTGGTAGCACTTTACAGACTCTCAAAACATGTAGATGGTATCATGAGCTTTTGTGGCCACAGCCCACTTCTTCAGATGACGGTCATCTGAAGAAGTGGGCTGTGCCCACGAAAGCTCACGATACCATCTACATCAGTGTTTCCCGAACTATGGGCCGTGG